AATTTATAATTAAAATAGTTTATTAATATTATTAATATTTAAATGACTACAATTTAATTTTTTAAAAATTATTTAATGTATATATTATATTTTTCGTGTTAATGACCTAACCAGACATTAGTCAACTATCTGGATAGCAGCTGTTTCGAATATAAAGATGAAGTTAGCCTGAAAACAGCAATAATGTCTTTTGTTAATGCTATTATTAATTATGGACCCGGAGAAGATCACTTAGAATTCCGTCTACATTTACGTTATGAGTTTTTGATGTTAGGAATCCAACCCGTTATAGATAAAATGAAAGAGCACGAAAATGCAGTTTTAGACAGGTAAATATATTTTTTTAAAATAATCAAAATTTACATAAAACAATTTTAGAAAATAAATTTGGATATTTTTAAATATTTCTAAGGCACATCGATATTTTTGAAATGGTGAGAAACGAGGATGATAAGGAATTAGCAAGAAGATATGATAAGGTAAAATCATAATTTTAATTAGTAAATATATCTTTAAAAACTGTTTCTCAACCTTTAAACACGCGAGAAGATACTAGTGTTATTCGGTGTGTTGCGATCTACGGGTTGAAAAGTTGAGATTCAGCCACACTATCAAGAATTAGCGTCGTTATTATTATTATTATTATTGTTACGGGTATTATTAATTTAGAAGCATATAAATTCTTCTGTTAAACTTATACAAGAATTGTTATAATACAATAATAGTACTTTATGATTTTTCTGGAATTATTGATATCGATTTTATGTTATTACATATGTAAAAATTCATTATTGAAATAGGTTCATGTAGATACTAGAAGTGCAAGCAGTATGTTTGATGTACTAAAGCGAAAATTGACGCATACTGCAGGTTATCCGCATTTTCTTTCTTTGCTACAGCATTGTCTTCTTAATCCATGTAAGTACCATAATGCAGAACGTAAAAATTACTAGTACAAGAAGATAATATAAATAATACGTATTAATAAAATAATCTATCTGTTTTAACAGTTCAAGGTAGTTCCTATTCTCAATTTTGGCTTCTCTTGGATCGAATCACCCAACAAATTGTCCTCCAGAATCCTAAAGGAATCGATCCCGATTACTCTCCTTTAGATATTAACGTTAAAGAAATTATAGAAATGTAAATAAATCATTTTTTATTATTAATTTTTTAAAATATATTTTCTTGTTTTTATACATTTTTTATGTATTTTGAAAAATAGGTTAGTGTCCGAAGATGAATTGAAAGCGGCAAAAGAAAAGGCAGCTTCTTTAGAACTAGAAAATAACGAAATAAATTGCATACTTAGCAAAAAAGATCAGCAAATAGATCAATATTTACAAGAGAAGGTGGGGTTAGACGAATAGTTTTATCTCGTTTAATCTAAACAAAATTTGCAGAGAGTTATGAGAATCAGATAACATTGCTTTGTTTTAATAGGAAGACCTACAAGCATCTTTGGATAAGTTAAAAATAAAACTAGAGAAGGAAACCCTTAATAATTTAGAAGCCAATCAAAAGTTAGCTGAACAAGAATGTCGCATCAATGAACTCACGCAAATGGTGAGAAGAATTTAATCCTCATTTTCTTATCAGAAAATTATTTCTAAAATAAATTCATTTCATTTTTAGTTAAAGTCCGCTAGCACAGATTCTAAAGAAGTAGGTAATATCCTTCAAGACAGTAGCATTTCCGATGATGTTAAAGCTGGGATTCACCTTCCTCCCCCAACGCCCCCTCCTTGCGTCCAAACACCCTTATCAGAGAAAGGAAGACCTCCTCTTCCTCCTCCTCCTCCTCCACCAGGATTAGGTACTGAATTTATTTATTAACAGAATAAATTCTTTTACAAGAAACACATAATTATATTAATATGTAAATATTCTTAATTATAAGGTTGTCCTCCCGCACCACCGTCCATGCCTTCTAGATGTAACACCTTGAAATTGCCAAAAAAGGACATTCCTCAACCTTCCACGCCATTAAAGTCTTTTAATTGGTCGAAATTATCCGATGTACGTAAATAAAAATAAATAATTCCAAAATTATACAAATGGGAGCCATTATAAATATTTTAAAATTACAATTATTTCAATTTTAGGCAAAACTAGAAGGGACCCTTTGGGCCGAATTTGATGTAAGCAAACTTTATAAAGACATAGATTTAGCAGATTTTGATAGATCATTCTCTGCTTATCAAAAACAAGTAAATATAAATTTTAAATATTAATTAATAATTATATAAGGATATAATTATTAAATATTATATTATTTAATAACTCGATTTTACTTTGTCGAATTATATTTTTTAATGATTTTTTTCTTATTAGACTTTGGGTTCTGTAGAAGACATTCCTTGCATTCTTTCACGTCCAACTCGTTTTACTCGCGAACTTTCAGTCATTGATTGCAGGCGTGCACAAAATTGTACAATTTTATTATCTAAGTTGAGATTATCGAATGATGAATTATGTAAAGCCATTCTCAGCATGGATAGCAAAGATCAATTGGCTAAAGATATGCTCGAACAGGTAAGGAAATTATACGTTGCCTTCAACAAAAAATAAGAGATTATAGAAATCATGATTGAATTATTACTCTTAATATTTTATCATTGTTTAAACGAGAAGAAAATTATCACAAAAATTAAATTAAATCGATACATAATAAACAACAGTAAACATGCAAAGAAGTTTAGCATTTCGTTTTTTTAATTAATTGAATTAACACTTTAAAAAGTCGATCAGTCAGTAATACAAAGATTCATTTTATATTGTGTTAAAATGTAGGAAAATTCAATACAAATTCTCATAAATTTATTATGAATAATCAAAAATTGCTTCAATTGTTACTAAGAATAGAAAAGTCCAAGCAAAGAGAATAACATATCATTAATTAAAATATTAATGAAATTAATGGAATAAATTTACTGTTAAATTTAGTTTTAACTTATAACTGTAGTCAGAAAGAGTAAAAAACATTATTTTAAATTGAAATTATAATTGTAAACATAAAACCTGCAGATTTGTTGGATAGGGTTGAGTAATAACTTCCTATACAACAAATATTCTTATATGGAAGGTGATAATGTATTGCTTTATTAGCATTGTTTAATAAATAAACAATTTATTTATTCTTACAGTTATGTTTTAATAAATCAATATTAAATGATGATTAAGAAAAATGCTAAGATACATACTATAAGATACATGTTCTTCACATATTATATATGATGCGAATTCATAAAATTTACCAGTTTTTTAATATATAATAAAATATTATTAACTAATTTATCAGAAAAATAAATAACTATAGAGAACTATTTGTCAATTAACACATTTTCTTATAATAATCCACTGATATAATCATAAATGTATGGAAAGTTTTTCGGAAAATTGCTTTCATCTATATGAAAGTATCTTCTATTAACATTCACTTTTTGTTTTAGTTAAATTTTATTCTTTATAAAGTCTAAAAAATAATAATTTCTTAATAAAACCTATAAAACAAATGCCATTTTTTTAATCATCTGGATAATTGCACAATATCATATTGAATGATCTAGGTTCAAATCCCTTATAATTTTGTATGGGTGATTGGATTTTGAACATCATTTTCTATTTCTTATCAATACTACCTAACCTGATTTAGGCTGGGCTTATCGATAATAGAACAAAAAGTCAGCTAATCAGCTATAATACATAACACTTTACGTCACACAACAAAAATAATATAGGGATATATCAATAGTCACATTCATATTTTATTTGTGATATAGTCCTGTTTTATTTTTTATCAACGTCCCATTCAGTTTACTCGGAATTTTTTCATTGTTAAGCATTAATTACTCAGTACTATAAATAAAATATTCTAAATACGTGTCCATACACGATAAAAATGTATAAAATTCACTTTAACAAGTGTTTGATTCTCTCCTTTTTTATCGATTTAATTACTGAAAGTTAATCTTTGAAATTTTGCCAACACATAATAAGATTATCAAAATGTTTCTTAGTACATCATACAGATTTTCGCTTATTTTTTCCGACAGATATTAAAATTTATGCCAAGTTCCGAAGAAAAAGCTCTATTAGAAGAACATAGCAACGAAATCGAAAATATGGCCAGAGCCGATCGATTTCTTTACGAATTAACTAAGTATAAACTCTATATTCGCGTACTTAAAATCCTTTCTTAAACAAATTATTAATTTTAATTGTAATTTTTTTAATTGTTAGAATTCCTCGTTATGAGCAACGAATAAGAACACTCTTCTACAAGAAGAAATTTAAAGAAAGAATTGACGATTGTAAACCAAAAATAAATGGTACGAATCTGCGAAAAAGTGTGCAAATTACTTAAAAATTAAATAAAATTTGACTAATTTCTTTTTGTAGCTGTTTTAGAAGCATGCAAAGAAGTGCAAAGAAGTAAAAAATTGAAAAAATTATTGGAATTAGTTTTGGCATTTGGAAATTACATGAATCGTGGACAGAGAGGAAATGCTTCAGGTTTTCACGTTGCTAGTTTAAACAGAATTGCTGATACTAAATCTAGTATCAACCGCAATGTCACTCTTCTGCATTATATTCTTAAAACTGTCGAAAATAAGGTAAGTGAAGATAAAAATTTCATGAAAAACGGTTAGAAAAACCTGTTTCTTACCTATCCATCTTCTGTTGCACAGTTCAAAGATGTATTCCATTTAGAAGAAGATATCCCACATGTTAGAGAAGCTGCTAAAGTTAAGTTAGTAAATTTTATATTATTTTTAAATATTTATATTCTTTTTAAATGATTTTCTAAGATTATTTTTTAAAAAATATTCTTTTTTCAGTTTAACAGAATTATCCAAAGAAATATTAAGTTTAAAAGTCGGTTTGCAAGAAGTTCAAAAGGCAAGATTTTTATTGTTTTTAATTATTTTCAAAGCTTATATTTTAATATATTAATTTAAAATCTTTATCATACACAAAAGCATTTAAATTTGCCTATTTAAATGTTCAGTTTTTATAATTTTTTTTAATGATTTTTAAAATATTTTTCTGTCCATAAAACCTTATGTAATAATTGGTTAAGTTTGCTATTTTAATTAATTACAATCAAGCAAGTTATTACTATTAAGACTTACATTTTTCCACATTAATTCAATTTGAATTAAGTGTTATAAATCAGAAAATTATTGGAAAGTTTACTTAATTCGTGATCCGCAAATTAAGTAAACTTTTATTCAAAATATGTTTTAATGACGATTGTTGGATGTTTATCATATTTTTCAATTAGACTCGAAATATTATAATTTGTTACACAGTAAAAAAAATAAATTATACAAAATTTTGACCATAAAAGTATAAAAAAATCATATAAAAATTACGATAATTTGAATCAGACATCATTAAAATATACCTTGATTGATTTTTTTCTAAGCTCTCAGATAAATTTACTTAACTTAGTGAATTTTTTTGCTGTTTTTTTTTTGTATCTAATTTTCGATGTTATGAATTTATCATTAGATAAATGCGCTTTTTACGACAAGAAATGCCTTTATTTTTTTTATCTCTTAATATCTTTATTAATTTCAAAAATCTAAATTAAAATGATTTATTTAGCTCTATAAGTTTATTGTATATATTAATTGTTATTTGATATACGAAAATAACATTTAGGAAATGGAATATCATCGTTCTCAACCTCAATCTTCTGGTGACCAATACGTTCCTGTCATGAAAGAATTCGTTACAATTGCCATTTATCAAATGTCTGAATTAGAAGAAAGCTTTCAAGACATGAATACAAGGGTATTATATTTAAATATACAAGTTTATTTGAATTATTTTTCCATGTTTTTATTTATTAAATTCTTATCTCGAAAGTATGAACGAGTATTGAGGATTTTTGGTGAAGATGCTTCTCATATGCAAGCTGAAGATTTCTTTACCATTTTTGATACGTTTCTAACATCATTTACTGAAGCTAAACAAGAAAATGAATCTATGAAAAGGAAAAAAGAAGACGAAGAAAAGAGAATTAAACAAGAAGAAGAAGTAAATATATTTTATTCAGTAGTTTAAAAAGTTGTATAATTCATACGCGAATCGTCGCATCGCCGTCAACCATGTTATCCGCGGCATCGCATCTATCAAAGTTTTACTTATACCTTTGTACTTTTCTTATAAATTTCGAAACTTTTAAAAATATATTTTAAATATAAAAATAAGAATTTTTTAGATTACGTTACATAAAATCATACCCCTTTCTATCTGATCAGTGGGATGATGGTGTTCGAATAGAAAAATTACTTAATAAAAAGTTACCAGCGAACACAAAATATGTTTTTAGGGTGTTTTCGAGGATGTCGAGTTCAAATACTTGGTCTATTTATCGCGAAGTTT